GCATTCCAGCTTCTTCTGGTAGCAATGAGACTGCAGTATGAGATACAAACAAACATTTGTTGTTATAAGTGGGAAATAATTCACAGGAAATTCTTTCCATGGACTGGAATTTAAAATTTTTTTTATGATTACTGCATTGTATTTTGCAAACCTCGCAAATGTGCCTGTGATGGCTGTGATACAAATTATTAAGTCCATAAAATTGTTTAGCCTCCTTAAACAGGTATCTGTCCACTGTAAATCTTATTGAATGCTATCTCCAGTCATAACTGAGAATGGATTTAGACATCTAATGAGATAAAATTATATTGTAAATTTTATATTGAACTAAACTATCCTGGGAGAGCCAGCAGGCTTCCTGAAAGAAACAATCCATCATCTGCTTCAGATTATAATGTTATTGTATTTCCACTCTTTACACCCCTAATCCCATTATTGCTCACTGCAATCTTACCACTGCTACAATAAACAAAAGGCTAAAGAAAGAGGCACATCTTTGGTGCGCCACTAATAATGGAAAGGTCCTCATTTATAGGTATTTTTGTGCACATCTGTGCTTTCAGACCAAAAGTTTACCTTCACCTTTGAAAAACATCAGCTTGAATTTACAGAAGCATAATTCTGTTCATAAAAGCAGAGTACACTATATAGTTACCAGGGCACTAAAAATACAACAGTTGTTGCTGATCTGAGATATGACCAGAGTAGAGATGCTCTGTGCCAACTTTATAAAGCTCCTGGAAAGTTTGAAAAGTCTTCTGAGCTTGAAAACAAGTAAATTTGAATAAAAGTATTATTTCTGTATATCATCTGGTGAAATATTTTGTTCAGCATGCCAACTTTAACATGTCATCATCCACTAGCAGAGAATACCAATAGTAATATTCGTAAGAAGCCAGAAGAAATCATTTCATTGCTCTGTGACCCAAGCCCACATCCATCACTGAGGTCTTCTACTGATTTAAGTAGGCACTGAATAATTTTAAAGACCTGATGAATCCAATTAAACAGTAGCAGAGATTGGCCTCAGAGAAAAGAAAAATCTCTGCATACTTATTAACACCGACATAGGTGTATGCCCTGCTTCCTGTGCGACAGTGACAAAAATGCCCTCCTTGCTAAGAGTGTCCATTTTGGCACATACAAGCAGCTGAAGGACTCGTGACCTCTCAAACCTGCAGTCTGATGCATGTTCTGAACACTGCCTCCAGTCTTGTCAGTCTCTTGACTGCTGAGTTTATACATGATTGACTCCTAAACGGTAGTGCTTAAGATTGTGCTTAGTGTTACTTCTACAAGAAGCCTTCCTAATTTTGAAGCCTTTTTTTGTTATATGTTACAAAAATATCAAGAGTTCTCATTAGGAGCATCTCTGCAGAGACACATCAGATGTGGCTGGCAAAATTAAAAAAAAAAACACAAGGAAAGCAGAGGGATAAAGTACCAAATTTACCCCAAAAAACTGCAGTAATTTTTTTCCCTTTGAAAAGTGTTCTGATTCTGTTCACCTCTGAGAAAGTCATCCACATTTCTGTAGCTTGGGGAAAAATAACGCCAACACCATACAACACACCACTCCTTGTTAAAGCCAGTGCCGTCAAAAGCTCTTGGAGGGTTTAAATGGTCTTCAAGGTGTTTACAGCATTTTACATAAAACACTGTACTTTCACGTCCTCTATGTCCCAGCTTCTTAAAAATTAACTAGGATACCTTCCCATGTTCTGTTCTCTCATTAAAATGAACTCCTGTCATTAGTTAACTCAGACAGAAAACATACAGATTACTGATATACTGACCCTCCTTCAGTATGGAGCTATCCAGGACTAACAGAAAAAAAAGATTTGGCTGGCTCTGAGGTAATTTAACAGTGACACACATTGCAAAGTAAGATATATAAACAATAACACAAAATAGAAACTGAAAATAATGGGGGGTTTTGAAGGTCAGCCATCACTCAGGACTAGATTAAGTAATGATGACTCAAAGCCAAACTGCACTGTACATTCAAATCATTAAAATACAAAGGACAAAAAAAAAAAGAAAAACCAAAAAAAACTGAGCTAGCAATAAGTGATCATGCTTAATTAGGGAGTAAGATGCATGACAGGAGCAAAGTGACTTTCATGGAAGAAAACATGTTGATGGGAGGCACAAAATCATTGGCACAGATGAGTTCCAGAGTGACACCACAAGGATATGAGGATTATGAAAACCTACACACTTCCCATGAACCCTGCTCTACAGCTAGGTAGATGCATTAGGTTTTAAGAGGGAAACTATTAAAAAAGTATGGCAGCAGTTTCATCTGAGAGAAACCAGTTACAAAAATCTTTTGGAGGGTTGTTTTTATTGAAACAGTCTGCCCCTTTTCATAGTTCAAGGCATTTCTTTAAACAGGGTATTTTACTAATTCTGCATAGTCTAGCTTTGTCATTGACAAGTAGTTAGACACATTAAAAAGCAACAGATCTTCCCTATATTACAACTCAAGAAAAAGGTTTACTTTCAGATCTGCAAGGTTAATCTGTGCTTCCAGCAAAAATGTACCTTCTCTCCGTCTTTCAAAGTAGAAATGTTCCCTTTCTGATACTCCTGCACTCCAAAAGATGAAGCCCCCTTTCAGGTACATATTCCAAAGAGAGAGATTACATTATAGAGCCACCATCAGAAATAATTTACCACCTGAAGTCATAAACTAAAAATTAGTAACGGGAAGTGGCAATTTGGCCAGTTTTGCCTATTGTCCTAATTATGCTCCCAAATTTTGGGGGCAGGCTAAAAAACTGCCTTCCTTCAGATCTAAGACAAGACAAGACTGTTCCTAATACCCTGTGCAAAGTTGTTACATAAACCCACCGATGGAGATGTCATCTTCTTGCATTCCAGAGTTAGCCCACCCACTTATTCCATAAAGCCAGGTAGGTAAAGCCTTAGCAAGGAGAAAGGCACCTGTCAGGGGGATGCACTAGCATCTTCTTGTATGCATCTACCCCTCCACCACACCTGCAGGGAACTGTCACACCACCAGCACAGGGATTATTTTGAAGAGGAAAGGCTACTTGAGGACGTGGGGAGACACCCTCTTCACTGTTACTACTGAAATTGTCCTGCTGCTCCGTACTGCTGCTGGAGCAGAGTGCAACACGCAGCATCAGACTGCACAGCCTGTTGGCACGCAGGTGCTCAGGAACAGATCATCTCTTTTCCCTTCCCCACTTCCCTGGGCTGTTTCTGCTGTAATATGGACAAAATCAGATAAAATATAGGTGTTGCCCTGGGAGCTAGAATCAGCGGTAGGTGCTTGCACCTCTTGCATCTGGATGTCAGAGACTTTTTGATAGATCCAAAGAGTTTAACATGCTGTACTAGCCTCAGAACTTGAGCAGTAACTAGAGAATGCAAAAATCCTAACTCTAGTTGCAATAATTCATCACCACACCACCAGAAGCAGTTTCCTTCATTTTTATTTGGGAAAATTATTTTCTTCTGGGCAACTTTATCTAACCAGGAGTGCTAGAACTATGGTTAACTCCTGACAATATATGATTGCTTTAGTAGAGAAACAACACCGAACTCACCTTCAGTGTCAAGCCATTAGTAGGCTGAACCTGGTTCTGGGCATGGGACTTCTGTTTTTCAAGCTTCCCTAAGCCACAGTCACAATACCCTTTTCTGCAGATAGCTGTAAAGGGATATTACATTGAGATTTCACATCAACAGCATAGAAAACACTCAAGTAGATATCAATCCTCAGTGACAAGCTGCTAAAAAGATAATCCAAAATGATGATATAACCAATTAATATCAAAGACTACACACACAAAACATCGCATGCAGACAAACCCGGATTGCAGCAGAGGAAGACACTAAAGGATTTCAATCACGTGCCTCCTGCACTTCTTTCACCCCACATCCCAAGAAGAGGCAAGACAATCCCCAAACCCGTGTAGGGGCTTGACTTCCAAAGAGGCTCAGTCCTACGTGCGTAACATTCACAAATCCCAGCATCTGCTTAAACGACTTCCCCTAAAGCATGCTGACTAGGACAGATCCTACATTTCCCCCATATACCATAGAGGGACCTTCAGTCCCCTGTGGGCAGGGTGGGGAGGCTCCAGGTGAGGCTGGTCAGGGCCACTGGGAGGAGGTGCTACAGAATCCACACCTACAATTCAGTTTAAATCTGCTCAGCTCCTGGTATGGGTATTTTTAAAAGATAAATGAATTCAAATGATGTTTCATTGTGTGGGCCAAAACTTGAAATAAACATTGTTATTGCTTTTACAACCTTTGATCCTCTGTCTTAGAAATAAGATCACTCCTGATTTCTGAGCTGAAAGTTTACAAATGTTTCTAAATAAAATATTCCGCTTGATGTAAATGTTTCAGAAGAAACAGATAAAAACACTCTCTTACAATTTTCAAACACTGCTTTAAAATGTTTTGTCAAGTCAAAGCAGTTAAAGTATGTTTAAGTTCCAGTTAATAAGTAAATAACTAAAAAAATACATCAACAGCATTTTTTTATTCTCTTGGTTTGAATGAGTTCTCTGATGACTACACTGGGAAATGCTGATTATTAACATAATTTTCAAACACAAATATTATTTTTAGATACATCCAGCTCTTAATTCTATCACCAAACTCTTCTCATTAATAGTATCTTTAAAAAGCAAGTTCAAGTATAGAATTAAGTGGAAAGTTTTAATAGCTTGTAGGCATTTATACTGATATTTTTAGCTGCAGAGAGGGTAGTGTCAGTTATAATACTGAAGAAAAATAGGCATAAATCTAGCTGTAAGTAGAGCCATACAAAAGAGTTCATTTAAGTCAATCATTGCTATAAGCCTTGCTTTTTATTCAAAAATTGTATTTTCTACACAGACTATTTTGCTTTTAAAATAATAGGGTTTAGTTGTTAGTAATTCTAACCATTCAAACAGAATTTGAATACTTGTTGTAAACCTTTCAGGGTGATAAATGAAAGATAAAAACCCCTTGATCAATGTAACTTTTATTTATTCATCTGGGAACATGGCAAGGATATCATAGGCAACAACGCCGCCTAGGAGAACATGTTTCACATAAACTGTTTTGGCAGAAACACGCATTTAAATAATCATCCAAATCACCACCTCACTATTGCTATCTTAAAAAACAAAACAAAACAAAAAAAAAGGAAAAAAACCAAAAGAGAAAAAGAAACATAAGATCTGAACAAACGAACAGCCTATGTTTTTTTTCTATTTAATGTCTATGCCAGCCACATCTTTCCCTGATTGCAGAAGTTGTAATACTTAGCAGTGACAATGGCACCTTTCATCTGCAAACACGTTATAAACATGAACTGACTGTAATTATATCACAATACCTCACCACAACTAATCAACGAGACTGCCTGGTCCTCTCTCAGCCTGGGGAAATGCTGAAATAAATTTGTGCTGCCAGCTCCCTGTATGACAGTGTCTACATCCTGCAAAGTACTACACATAAAAGTGAGTTTAGCATGAAGTGACTGACAAAACTACAGCATAAAATCAAGCAGGTTTTTCCACTCAGTGCTATTCTGTTGTATAATCCAAGAAGATCTGACCAGGACAGGAGGCAATTTAATGTAAACCATTTGGAGTGAAAGGTGTTATTTTGCCTAGTGAAATCTCCCCCTCACAGTCCAGCTCACAGACAGAGTCAGTGGCAATCTCGTGGTCAGGGGAGAGCTGGGACATCCTATCAAAAGGGTCCTCGCGGTTTCCCTCACAGTCAACCACATTTGGGATCATGTTAACATAAGCAGTCACTATCTCCTTATGGAAAAGGGTGTCCTGGTTGTAAGAGATCAGCTCGTTGCTTATATTAACAGTCTCCACTGGAGTACTAGAGCAAAACTGACCACATCCCAGAAGGTTGGAGAAGACCTTTCTAAAGTCGGCATTGAAGGCATAGATGATGGGGTTGAGAGAGGAGTTAGCCCAACCAAACCAGACGAAGATATTAAAGGTGGTCTCACTGACACAGGGAAGGCCAGCATGGGGGTCACTGGGTGGGCTCTCACAGAAGGGAACCATGCAGTTCAAGATGAAGAATGGCAACCAGCAGCAGACAAAGACACCCATGATGACAGAGAGAGTCTTCAACACCTTGGTCTCTTTCCTGATGGAGGACTTGAGGCTTGTGTGATGGTGGCAGTCAACATGGCTGCTCCGGCAGCTCTGCGCGTGCTCCGCTGCCCTCTCCAGGGAAGAGATGCGACGAATCTGCACCTGGGCAATGCGGTAGATTCGCGTGTAGGTAACTATCATGATAGCCACTGGAATATAAAAACTGATCAAGGAGGAGGAAATAGCGTAAGTCCTGTTGAGGCTGGAGTCACAGCTCTCTGATGGTCGGGTGAGGGTATCGTTGCTGCCAGAGGTCCCATCAGAGGGTCTCATTGCTGCTAATGCCACCCACGTGGTGCTCATGTCTTCAGCCCAGGTGGTGACAGCACCCGCTGCTGCCCAGCCGGTGCCAAATCCATCTCCAATATCACCAGCAGCAACAACGTCCCCACCTTTGTGCCAGTTGAGCTGGACAGGGATGAAAGAGATGAGCACAGATAAAGCCCATGCCACGCTAATCATCACCAGAGCCAACCGTTGGGTCATCTTCCTCTCATAGCGGAACGGGCTGGAAATAGCCCAGTACCTGTCCACGCTAATCACGCACAGGTTCAGGATGGAGGCCGTGGAGCACATTATATCGAAGGCCACCCAGATGTTGCAGAAAGCCCCAAAAGGCCAGTACCCCGCCACCTCAGCCACCGCCTTCCAAGGCATGACGAGCAGAGCCACCAGCAGGTCAGAGACAGCCAGGGACACGATGAAGATGTTGGTCACCTTGCTCCTCAGGTGCCGGTAGCGCACGATGGCCGCGC